TTTGTCATAATGTAATAATGTAATTTCTAATAAAAAAATAAAATAAAAAAAATAAATCAGGTTACTTAAAAAAAAAAAAAAAAATGTATATTGATCTTCTCTCATTGAAAGTACAAAACAACTACTTTTGAGGTCAAAGTAAAATTTTAGTCAGGGGTCACCTCAAACCTTTGAACTGTAGTGTATAAATCAGTATTTTTTTTGGTACTTTTTATAGATGTTGTATGCTTTTCTTGCATCAACAATGAAATGAAGAGTATTGGGAAAGAGATTTTTTTAATATTTCTTCATCTACATATTCTTGATGCAAGAAAAGCATTCAAAAAGTATAATCAACAATAAAAATTCTAAGTTTATAATTCTACCAACTGTCTACTGACCCTAAAAACATACACACTTTATGCTTAAGTTTATCTAATACAAGACTCAAAAGCCATTCAAAGGAGAGGGTTACTGTTAAAATGATTATGATGAATAAGGTGTACAATATGAATGGAAGAGGTGGTGGTAGGAAGATTATGAGGATATGGAGGATAGATAATGATTGACCCTTGACTTGAAGAGGTTAAGACTGTAGCATTCAGGGAAGCATTCATGCAGGAATTGGTTCTAGAAATAGGTAGTAATTCTTTAGGAATTCTTCCTACATTTAAAAGATGGAAGAATTAAGGGTGATTCACCTCCATAGATGTAGCATGGTGTGCCCTAGATAGAAAGGCCTGAACTGCTAGAACTAAAGAATGGAGTGCTCATCTGAACATTTGCCATGGAAATAGCAATAGAGTAACAAGAGGATTGCAACTGCATTATATATATATGTGTGTGTGTGTGTGTGTGTGTGTGTGTGTGTGTGTGTGTGTGTGTAAAAGAATATGAACTCTAGGGTTATGACATTTTTTTTAGTAATCCTATGTTCCGGTGTCAAATTGATGAATGTTTGTTCAAAAGTAGTGAAAAAAGGCATTGTTTTAGTTCTTGAAAAAGTCACCAAACCGAAAATTATACACACAATAAGAGTTAAAAAAAAAAAAAAAAAAATTTTTTTTTAAAAGCTTTATTTTTAAATTTTCTAATGATCTAATTCATGCATTTTTTTAAACTCATTTAACATTTTATACCTATAGCATAACATACTAACTTACAAATAAACAAAAACAAGTTCTAGAAGGTCCCAGGAAGTGATAATACTACTATACTTGCATCCAATTTTGGAAATTGTGTTTGGGGTGACATTTCTTTGAAAATAAACTGAATTAACACCTTCATTATATTTTAAAAAGTTTATTGAATTATGAGACAGGAAATCAATTATTTTACAAAACTTTTATGTAAATGAAAACATTGTTTCGACTGTTGTCCTCATCTTTGTTGCCATATTCATGTTTCAACTGTTGTATGCACCAGATGTACATCTTTCAGATGTCTCCATGGACACATGGCCCAGTGGATAAAAGTGTTGGCTGTATCGAGCGACTTGACCTAAAGAGTTGTGAGTTCAATACCTGGCTCCTACAGTGATGAACAAAAACTTGGAGAGTTGTGTTAAAGGGAAATAACTGAGATATCTGGAAGAGGCATAGCACGTGGAACTAGAACAATCTACCCTGGTGGATGAAATAAAGGGTTCAGTTCAAAATTCCACTTGCCTGAAGGCCAGAGCAATCAATGGCCAAAATGTCGTGAATATGGCAACAAAGATGAGGATAACAGTCTGAACAATGTAAATAGTTTAAAAAAAAAAAAAAAAAAAAAAAAAAAAATTCACATAAATTATATAAAAGAAAATGCTTTTCTACAGAAAAATGATATTACACATGAATCTAGGTCACAGAGAGTAAGGTTAAAAAAAAAAAAATCTATTGTGTACTTTTAAAATTAAAAGAAAAAAAAAAAAAGAAAAACCTTTTCTTAGGCTGGTTGCTAGCCAAAGCTAAGAGAGATTAGTCTGCTATTTAGTCCATATCTGGGGAGGGGAGAGACAAATAAATGCTTTTCCAAAGAACATACTAGCCTGGAATTTAAATGCCGTTTGCCAATTCCACTTTCTGTACCAAAACCCATACACTACCAAAATATCCTTGATAATTACTAACTTGGAAAGCAAAAATATTGAACTAAGTTTCAATTATAGTCAAGACTTCAATTTCACACTAATGTCCTTGGAAAAGGCAGTAACCCAATTTTCCCAACAGTATTCTTTTGTTAGTCATAAACCATAGAAAATAGTTTACCAAGTCTACTAGTATCATGTAGTACTATATGGCACCCTATTACTTAGTACTTAGATATAGGATGAACATTATCAAGCAACTCTTGTAATTCCTTGAATAATACTGTGAGAGATTGACAATTCAACATTCCTCAACTGGTAAAACTTATCAAACTGTTTAAATGAAAACAAGTTTGCCTACTGTTTTTATTAATAAAAATATTTGCAAAAAGGTAAGAAATATAGATTTTGTAAATTGACTTTTGTATAGGTTATTTCAAAACATTTAATTTGGAGAAAACCTGTAAATTACAATGTTTAGCCAGTTTTTGTAACATTTAAGATTGAAATGGCAGAAAAGAGAAACATTAATGCTACAAAGTATAGGAAGGAAAGTTGTAGAGAAAATAAATCAATCAAGATTTGGTTAAGCATACAAATTAAAAAAATATGAAAAGCATTTTGAACAGATTTCCCTGAAATTAGCTTTGTTTATTCCAGAAATGTTTTATAGAAGAAAAAGCAAGAGAATTGGATGATTGATTTACAATGTTTAGGAGATAACGACATTGTAAATTGGACATTAGGTGTGACAAAGAGGGACACAAAGTAAGGGTCCAATTTTACATTATACATCCATTGTAAATTGATCACCCACTTTAGAGTCAATTCACTTACTTCCCCTATAAAAAATAAGTTGACATATGACTTTACAAATCAGGATGCTAATTTTGCATTTTGGAATACAATTTCAGAAATCTTTATTCTGGCTGACAGTGAACCAATACAAATGGATGCTGAAAATTTTTTGGTTAAACCAAAAAGGGATTTGAAAACAAATTCTAGTGTTTGATGAGTGCAAGAGAAACGTGTTGTACATGAACTTTTGAGCACATTCTTGCTGGAATGAAGAGGTGCCGATTAGTTCTATCTTCAAGAAAATAAACTTAATGGATAGCGGCAAAGCAAAATAAAAGCAGTCAAAGAAAGAAAGAAAAACAAAGAAAATGGAACACTGAAGTTTAAAATGCAAACAGGTTATCTGTTTTATTGAATGTTACATGAATATCTATGATATACAATAAGTAAATGCTAATATGGTTTTTATGTTATATAGTTTTCAACTAAGATGAATGCTAATCATAAATTTTATATCAAGTTCTTCCACAAAAAAAATGTTTAGTAACATTGTTATACCAGGGAGTTACCAAAGTTTTCAAAGAGCTTCCAATGTTTTTTAATAGAAACTATAAGTATTTTTAGTCACATGAAACTTATACATCATTTACTAGCATAAATTTCAGAAGAGTAAACTTATAGTAGTAATGAGTGAAGTCAAAATAACAGCCCAAAAGTTGATCATCCTGGGTATGAAGATAAACTGCATTTGACAGCAAGGCCTCTGATTGTGAGGTATTGAGGAGCATGGAATCACAATTTAATTGCTGTTGTTCCCAGGTCCACCCTGATCCAGGGTTGTAGAACCAGTTAGGGTCCCCTCTAGGGGCAAATAATGAACCTCCCAAACTAGGTTAAAAAAAATACAAAACAAAAAATTACCAGCAATATATTAGTGGAGGCTGAAAAGAAAATTACCAAAGCTCACAAGAAAATAAAATTTCAGCATTAAATGACCCATAAGGAATTCATGTGCCATTAAACAAACAAACCAAACCAAAAATTGACTTATCTATTGTATGAATATAAACTTGAAACAGAAACAAGAGAATTGACCTATAGAATGTTTATGGAATTTGTTAAAGTTGAATCTAATACTTAAAAACAGGTTGGAGAGGGTGTCAAGTAAAAACGAGTTGCTTGAAGATTGTTATATTCCATGCTAATAGGAATATATACTTGAAAAAACATGGTAGATAAAATAAGTAAAGGTTTATTGTAAAAACCAATACAATAAGAATAACAGTAATGCACAAGGTTATTGCAAGTCAATTCAGTAGCAAGTGCTATTATTGGAAGGTCGGTAGTTCTCGCGTAAGTCTGAGTTGTACTCAACAGATTCCCAGCTAGACTGTTGACTTACAGATACTTATAGGTAAGTGACAGGTTATTCCATTACATCAAAGATGCATCCTATAAACGATGGTTGGAAAGCATTGATGATAAACTATGACATTTATTTTAAATTTCAATGCATAAATTGACTTTTATATCTCTACTGACACTGCATTTTGAAGAAAAAAAAATGATGCAGAGGTGTGGAATCAAAGTACAATATACATGTGAGGAGGTGCAGAGATACATTCTATCTTTTTTTCTTCAACAGCTTTCAAAGATAAACCTTTTGAATAGCACCAATATTTAAGCATTTTCAGTTGCATGAAACTAACACATTTACTAACAGATAAGAAGTGTTTATCTATAATAGTAATGAGTGAAATCAATACAGTAACCTAAAAGTTGGTTGTGAATGTTTATCTATTGGATGAATTTAAACTGAGCAAAAGCAGCCCTAAAAGACAGTTTTTTGGATATTTTTTTAGTAAAGATCTAGACCAGTGTTTCTTAACATTTTCTTCCTTGTGGTCCATTTTGGTACCAAAAGAAAATTCAAGATCATATCAGCAAACAGAAATTCCTTGTAAAAGGATAAATACCGATATAATACAAATAAAGTAACGCTTTCAAAAACTAAAATAACATTTTTGTTAATCCTATAGTGTAAATGCTGGTCTCAAATGAAAGATAAATTAAATGAACATGAAGTCTTTCTAACTAACACCACAAAAATATTTCATATCTATTTGAAAATTATATAGAAATAATTCCTGAATTACTTGCCTTTGAAGCAGAGAGAGAGAGAGAGAGAGAGAGAGAGAGAGAGAGAGAGAGAGAGAGAGAGAGAGAGAAAAAGCCCACCTATCTTCCTTGGGCCAACTCCAGGCCTATATTAAAAAATCTCAAACCAACTTGTTGGTCTAAGGGCCCACGTTGAGAATCAATGATCTCTAGCTAGTTCTCAATAAGTAGGTTTATGATTAAACTAGTTACACATGAAGAATCTTGTAATGGACAGCTAGTAAGTATTGTTGCTAACAAACTGAGGACCGTGTTGAATTTAAATCGGCTTCAAATGTGTCAGATACTTGCTAACTTGCATAATAGTACAAGTGAAAAGTATACATCTGCAACACATTGGGGAAACGTGTACCCCATGAACTCAATGAATAAAAACATACAGAAAAAAAAATAGTTATTGTATTAAAAAGCATTTGAATTCATTCATTCATTAACTTTGAAACTTTTTATCTATATTTAATACAGTACAAAGAAAAAAAAGATTTAAAAACAGGAACGACCTGCTTCTTGTCTATCTCCCTGATTCAGTACACCTTCCCCTTTAAATTCGTTTATATATTTGGAGCTAAAAGATCAAAGCGTTTTTTTGTTTCTTTTTCTCTCAATGAAAGAGAAGAAAAGGCAGGTTTGAATTTTGTCTCAACACTATGATTCAATTGAATAGAGATGTTCAACCAAGTTCAAAACATGCCTAAAAACTAAAAGGGCAGAAAAGAAAGCGGGTGGGGAAAGAGTATTATTTTTTATATATTTTGTTAGTAATGTTTTTAAAGTTTTTATGTTGCGAATGTCAGTGTCTTGTTATGACGATCGCGAACTGTTCGAAAAATGTTTATAAAGTCAAATGTGAAAACAAAAGAGACTCCGTGAAAGAGTGCAAAACAACGCCATAATTTTTGACAGGACGGAGAGACAAGATAAAAATTACATTCAGTAAACTTTTAGTTTAAAAAAAAAAAAAAAAAAAAAAAAAAAAATATTCATTTTTCAAAAATAGGTTTTACTTTTAGTTTTGAAAAATACCATACATATTTTTAGCTAATTCTTGATAAAACAAATATATGAAGAAAATTAGATCAGCTCCTGGGTACATTTTCGTTAATGTGAATGTTTAGCTCGGGGACTGATGAATTTTACAAAGGAATGAAATAAGGTAAAAATCATTTTACTTCACAATAATGAGTCATCACTCTGAAAATTATGTTGCTCTTTTCATTGGGAAGTTATTCGGAACTTCGTTTTCCAGGTGTTCAATCTGCACTTTGTTCCAATATCAAATTAAATTATATAGAATGGATTTTTTATTAGACATTATTTCTTCAACGTTACTGTATTTGAGTTGCTATTCCCAATTTTTGCAAGGTACTTGTTTGCGGTTTATTTGTCACCACTTTTTAAAATGCGTTTTTTTTTTGTAGGTTCCGTCGCCACCTTTTAAATTAAAAAGATTTTTTTTTTAATTTATGTATTGGTGATGTAAAGTTAGAACGTTTTTAATTGTTCTTTTTTTTTTTTCAGGCTGCTATAAAATAAATGATTCTTTGGCGTAGTACTTTTTTTTAACACACATCTGTATTTGTGAAAAAGTTGGAAAATAAATTTTAATAGTGGCGACAGATAACCCGCATGTACAGGTTTTATTTTCTTAAACAGTAAAATTAACAGGTGACCTAGATTGAGAAGTCCTACTAAAAACTGTGCGGCCCTCCAACAGGAATCGAACTTGTGTCCCCTTTTCCATCAGGGAAACTGTTTCTATAGCCAAAATGTGCCTTATGCTTTGGGTACGAAACCGAAGTTAACAGGTCCCAAGGAGAAATGTCGTTTATAAAGTCTGTAAGCCTCAAATTTGTAAAGGGTCTCTTTTGGTGGTGGTGGTGGTGGTGGTGGTGGTAGGGGCTTACCCCCACTCTGCAATGTGGGGGGGAGCTGTGTATATATCCTAGAGATCCTACTAAGACAGTGAAACCAAGAAAACAACATAGAATCAAACATTTGATTCTGTCCTTATGCAATTCCATGACCATTTGGAGGGACCAAAATTCAGTCCTAAATGAGGTTAGGAAGCAGAATCCACAGTATAAAGAAATTATTCTTTTTTTTTCTCCTACCGTATTCGAAATCTTATCACAAGCATACGATTGATATTTAGAAAATCTGACTAACAATTTTAAAAGCTTGAGTCACAATTCTAAAAAGGACTTCTGTTTTTTTTTGTTTTTTGAAACAGATTGTTTTCAATTTTCATTTTTCTAAGTAAATACGTGATGGGTTCACTTGCTGCATCTCAGCAATTTTATAAGCATAAAAAGCCGTTACAAAAGAAGGACCTACTCGGTCTGAAATTGTTTAGTATCCTTTCTTTTATTCATTACTTCAAAATCACCACTGACACTCCATATTAAAAATGCATCCTATTTCTGAAGATTAAGTTTAAAAAAAAAAAAAAAAAAAAAAAAAGAAAGAAAGAAAAAGGTAAGTTACTCAACTGTGAATTAGATTTCTCCTGAATCCAAAATAAGGTTAACTTTCTCTATATGAACCAGAAATTTGGGGACGTGCAAATAATGGAATATAGGCGCTGAAAATGTAATGTTTGAGAAAAGTTCAAATTTAGTCTGTTTTCACTTTTCAGTCACACAAATAATCTTTGAAAAGGGCATGAATTCATCCCCCCCCTCTTAACCTCGCAGAGTAGACTGGGCTCCCTAGGTCTTGCTTGAGCTTGAATAACAAACAATATGAATAAAAATGTAGGAAAACTGAAATTCAAACCGTGGAAAAAAAAACAACGAAAAATCCCGTGATTATTCTCAATAAAGCATGATAATTCACAGAAAATAAACTAAAAATAAATAAACTGAATAAATAAAAATAAATAATAATAAATAATAAAATAAATAAACTAAAGAAAAGGAATCCGTTGAGAACCACGATCTTCTACGTCCTGAAAGTTTGTTACGGTATTAAAAAAAAGGGGGTGGGGAGTCGGAACATTTCTGTATTTTGCTTGCAAAAAGAGATTACCCCCCCCCCCAAAAAAAAATTCATTAAAGCAACACAACATAAAGTGGTGCCCCCAAAAAACCTGTTTCTTTTTTTAAAAGGATTCAATTCAGGAGCTAGATCGGTGGTCTCGACTAGATCCAAGAGTTAAAAAAAGGGGGAGTAAGACTGCGTTACGCCATTTTTCTAAATGGAGAGAATTTGTCTACCTTGGAAATCAACACTTAAAAAATCCTACCCCGGTTTCTTTTAACTCCGATTTGAACACGGTGGCTTTGCTGTGAAAAATATGCAATTATCTCGGTCACGTGGCAGAGGTACTAGTAAGTTTGGTCACGAACTGGATTTAGAGACAAAAAAAGATTACATGCCCCCCCCCCAAAAAAAACAAACACTATTAAAAAAAAAATTAAAATGGTTTAATTAAAGAGACCATTGAAAAAAAAGTTTAAGTACGATGGTTTCAGAAAATACGACATTGATCAGAAAGATAATCACAATTTGGTCTCTGTGCTGTTAATTATTATTACTTGATTTGATATTTGTTTGTATTACTATACAAATATTGGTCATCTTTTTTTTTTTAAATTGAATGAAATAATACACAAAAAGTAGAAACTAAAAGATGGTAAAAAGCAACTTTTCGTAGTTTTGTAAAATTGTCATTTTAAAAAGTTCATATGAAAGTTAAGTTGATTCAGTAAAAAAATATTTAAATCCCAAAAGCATGGATGTATTTGAAACTAGCTATGATACTTTTTTTTTTTTCAATGTAATGGACATTTCCAAATTAGCGACAAGGGTAGAACCTCACACTCTTCGTGAAACAGGCAGTTGTTCTAACCAGCGAGTTAACTTCACAAGTGTGTGTAGTAACAGCAAAACACAACCAGTAGCAGACTTGGGGAAGGAGGATATCCCGTTAGATATAAAACAAAGTAAGATGAAGATGAAACCAGAAAGAGAAACAACTGTAAAAGATGACAAAGTGGGTGAATTGATGAAAAATGTCAGATTTTCCTGGGAAAAGGGGTGCACAGAAATGGGTAACAAAATATTAGAATCTGAATATCACCACATTCCTTTAAAATTACAACATAGTGACTATTTCCGCTGAAGGAGGAGGAGGAAGAGAAAGGAAAGAGGCGGAAGAACAGAATAAAATGAAAGAGAAAAAAAGAAACAAAAAAAAAAAGGGAGGATGAAAGTGAGAGATTTATAGAAAAAAAAAGGGACTGAATATAAACCGAATGTGAGAAATATTTTAGATAAAATAAAAGAAAGATGGGGGAATAGGATAAAAAAAAAGAATGAGAAAGAATGAAATTGATAAAAATATTTTTATAAGAGAAAGATGGAAGAACAAGGATTGAAGGAAAAAAATGAATAGGGAAAAAAAATGTAAAGAAATAACGATTTTAGCAAGAAAGAAAAATTGAAAAAATTGCATATTTATTTAAATTCTAAACTAAAGTCACTTAGGGTTTATCAAAAAGATTCACTTTATTAGAAAAATCATTCTTGAATAACAAAGTAAACAATTTAAAAAAGACAATCAGGCTTCTCTTGTCTTCGGAATTCGTTACACTGATCACGTGGGCATCTTTAATTTCACTTCATGTGTTTGTCAATAACTTCTTTTCACACTGTAAAACTTATTTTTTTAATGTGTTTTCTATATTCATAAATTCGTGTAAAACTTGGAAATCGTTTACCAAAAAATTAGATTTCAACCAAATTGAATTGGTTAGCAATTATGATATTTTGCACTAATACACAAAACTACAGTATCAACGGGGGAGGAAAATAACACATGGAAAAAAAAAAAAAAAAAAAAAAAAACAAAACAAAACTTTAGAATCGTATAGTTAAAGAAAAAAAGATATCAGACGCTATAGAAGATATCATCATTGTTATTCAAGTTATTACAAATTTAATACACATTATCCAGAGGGATAATCCGTCCAAATTTATGAAGAACAAGTTAGAACTTAAATCAACTTTTTATTTACACCGCTTTTCAAGAAATATTAACAAGATGCTAATATTCCATTTTTCGATAAAATAATAATAAATTAGGCCTAAGAACAGTCAACTAGCGATATTAGATGTAGGATTTCGTTTTTTTTTTATTTTTTATTAGTGTTGTGAACAGCACTAACAAAATGAAGTTTTTACATGTGGAATGATGACTACAACTACAAACAATACAAGTTTACAAATAATGCTCAATTAAATGAAAATTAAGGAGAATAACTATTTCAATGGGAATTTTAGGAAAAAAAAAATAATAGACAAACTTAAGTAATTTTGTAAAGGGCAGAGAATCTTATTTTGTTTTTGGCTGTAAATTTATTGTGTTGATGGTCATCCATACTTTGAAAGTGGTTCCAGATGAGAGTTGTTATTCTTGAATGCAGCCATTTTATCTTTCGGTGAGCAAATTATTTACAACCTTTTTTGACAAGACACGCCCACAATTGTTAGTTTATCATGTGCTTTCTAAACTAAAACATCCAGCAATTATTATTTTCTAAGTTTCAAACTGAGGTATATTTTTTTTAAATAAGAAAGGTTTCTTAAATAAAAAATTTATGAATTATTAAATTTTACAGACTGAGTGAGAAATTAAGAGATTTAAAAAGACATTTTCGAACATAACTCAGCTGTTAGTCTTTTTTTTTAGCAATTAGTAAAGTTTTTTCACCATTAATATCCTATTATTTTATGCTTCACTTAAAAATACTTGTACTTTGTTGTTTGTTTTATTCGACATATGAAATTATGACAAAAAATATTATTTATTTTTTTTTTTAAATGGAAGCCTGAAATTGAGTTAAGCAACAAAATTTAGAATTTATTCTTAAAAAAGACAATAACGATTTAATAAAATTTTTAGTTTATGACAAAGGCATAATTAAAAAATGACGTCGCAGGAAATATCATTTTTATGTCAATTTTACACCCTAAGATAGCAACATGAGGGTTCACATCCTAATGGACACACTTCCCATCCCATTACAAAAAACAAACAAATAATTATTATTTGTTTAAGTAAAGTAAAACAACAAGCACATGGGATCTACGATAAAGTAAAGAGGTGTGTAGTAGTATAAGCAAGTTGCTGTGTAAAAATAAGAGAAAGAAAGAAAAAGGGGTCAACGTTCTCTAAACGAAACCCATAATTACGTTATGCATAAATGTAAAAAAAGCAGGAAGGATTAATAATGTCAGGGACGGTATCTCGAATTCATCGAGAATTTTATTTTATTAAAAAAAAAACGATTTTGTCTATCGTATTTTTCAAGTTTTATTTTTACTCTACTAAACAACAACAAAAATCATTGAGATTTTGACAAGTGCTTTGCGTTCCATAGTTCAAAATCAAATTATTTGAATTAAAAAAAATTGTAACCTAACTAAATCAAATCACAGCATTTAACTTATTGTGCTCATAATTCGACACAGATATTCTTTTTTAATTTGAGCATTTCATAGGTAAGCTTGAATAACTAGTTTCAAGAACGGTACTTAAAACGATTACAAGGTTTTATTTTTATTTTGACAATCCGAAACTGAGCAGTTTCCCTAAAAAATGTAATAAAAAACACATCTTCCAAGCTTTTATAACGTTATTTATTTTTTTAATTTGAAGAAATCACGTGGTATGAGCTACGCGCATTATTAATTTTGCCAATTTGGCTTCCGCAGGGGGATCAAATTTACAATGAATTTACATTGCAAACGGAACCCCCGTATTGACTTTCATAAGGTTTAATAATTTAATATTTTTTTATATTCTTGATCTGGAGTGCCTAATCTGTAGTATAAATATGTGGAAAAATCTTATTTCTATTTGCACCGAATTATTGTAAAACTCAAATGAATAAAGTATGAAAAACAGTCCAATATTTGCAATGGAAACTATTAAAGAGGGATGTTAGATCTTATGATCCTCCAATTGTTGTCAGCTATGACCGTAAAAGCAATTTCCAAATATTTTTGTTCCTCTTATCGCAGTATTTTCTACCATGCCTAAAAGAAAGCACCTTTTTTAATGAAAGGTTTGAATACGATATAATAAAAAAAAAAAAAAAAAAAAAAATCAAATATGACGAGCGAGGTTCAAATAAAATTCCATCCACCAAAAAGTTACCAGCTTTTAAATTGGAAATAATAATAAGAAAAGAGTTTTGTCATCTATCAACAGTCAATAACAGCATACCAACATACATGTTGATCCTATATCACGTGAGAACGAGAGGAAAATAAGACAAAAAGATGAAAGGGGTGAAGAAAAAAAAACGCAAAGAGGGCGAAAGCGAGGAAGGAAAACGCAAAGAGGGCGAAAGCGAGGAAGGAAAACGCAAAGAGGGCGAAAGCGAGGAAGGAAAACGCAAAGAGGGCGAAAGCGAGGAAGGAAAACGCAAAGAGGGCGAAAGCGAGGAAGGAAAACGCAAAGAGGGCGAAAGGAGGAAGGAAAACGCAAAGAGGGCGAAAGCGAGGAAGGAAAACGAAAGAGGGCGAAAGGAAAAACGCAAAGAGGGCGAAAGCGAGGAAGGAAAACGCAAAGAGGGCGAAAGCGAGGAAGGAAAAACGAAAAGGGCAAAGAGGGAAAACGAAAGGGCGAAAGCGAGGAAGGAAAAAACGCAAAGAGGGCGAAAGCGAGGAAGGAAAACGCAAAGAGGGCGAAAGCGAGGAAGGAAAACGCAAAGAGGGCGAAAGCGAGGAAGGAAAACGCAAAGAGGGCGAAAGCGAGGAAGGAAAACGCAAAGAGGGCGAAAGCGAGGAAGGAAAACGCAAAGAGGGGCGAAAGCGAGGAAGGAAAACGCAAGAGGGCGAAAGCGAGGAAGGAAGGAAAAGGAAAACGCAAAGAGGGCGAAAGCGAGGAAGGAAAACGCAAAGAGGGCGAAAGCGAGGAAGGAAAACGCAAAGAGGGCGAAAGCGCAAAGAGGGCGAAAGGAGGAAGGAAAACGCAAAGAGAAAAGACAATGTATAAAAACTAGAGAGAAAGTGAACGAGGTAATAAACGAAGTTGGCGAGAACGAAAATGAAGTAAAAATATTGGTAAAAAGTGAAGAAAGAGTCTCTTGCATTCACCTTCTTGATCATTTATCATTTCTAAAATCAAAGTTGAACAGAACTAAGACAAGCGATGTGTTATCATCACGTGGTCACATGCTCACGTGCGCCTGTTTCTATTATTAGAAACTGATGATCTAATTCTCTTGTCAAGAATGTTAATTTTTTTTTCTCAAATATACAGTGATTAACGTTTTGTTTTTTAACTAACACTAATTGAAAAAGACCAGTTCATTTCGGAAAGACTGCATATCAACACAATTATGTAGTATTTTTAGATTGATACAAATAATTTTAAATGCAATTAATAAATTCAAGAGTTTGTGTACGGATAAAAAAGGGTGGATGGGGGGGGTAATCTTTCACTACACCTTGGTAATGTGTTAAAACTTAATGTAATTTTGCAAGTAAATAAAAATGTACATGTATTTTTCTTGATTGTATTTTTTAGCGAAAAAAAGAGAAAGAAATCAATAAGAAAAACAAAAGGAAAACAAACGGGCCGATAATCTGTCCAACGGGATACGTCATCGAGGTCGAGAACATGAAAATTGAAAAAGAATGCCTCAAGGGAGAAGCAAAGGTCGAATAATCGTGTTAAATCCTACAGGTGATTAATATTTTTTGGAACTTACGAATAATAAATTTATGGTTTAGGAAGTGTTAAGGGGCAGCCTAATTTTATTTGTATTGATTAAAAAAGGTAGCAAAGAATGAAACCACTCTAGGGAGACAAGACAAAGGAATCTCGTGAGGCTTGCAGGGACTCAACATTCTAGTCAAATAAGATTTCAAATAACGTTAAAATTGTTTAGAAATATTTATTTTGTTTAAACCAGAATTAACAGAGCACTAGCAGTTAACTAAAAACTTATTTAAAACATCATGACTAAACAAACTGTAAACATAACACTAAAATTTAACAGCAGGTAAAAATTTTCTATAATTACAATTACTAAAAACCATTTTTGTCTATTATTCCTCATCAATTTTCAGTTAGGCGCATTTTTCTTAATTAAAGAGTCTTAAAATAAATACAAAAGCTGAGTTTATTCAGGAATGCCAAACTTTCTAATGAAGTGGTTATGAGTAAAAATGTAAAAAAAAAAATTGAAACTGATAAGAGCCACATAAGATAATTTAATTATTTTGTGTGAAAAGGGATAGTTTTTCCTTTTTAAACTATCAAAACAAAAAGGCTAATCATCAGAAGGTTGGAAAAGTCAATTATGATGGGTAACGTAATGTGTGCCATGCAAGCATTTTGAAATGGCTGAAAAGATCATTTAAAACGTGTGTGCAAAAGTGGTCTTTTGAGAGGTTCAACTACAGCCAAATAAATGAATTACAAAGCTCTTGAAGTGACCTAAATTTTAATAGGTTTTGCTATTCAGATGAAAACTACATCTTACCCACCATCTTTTAAAATTTAATAGTAGCATGAAATCAAGTTTTCAATGCCTGGGTATTTTTATTTTGTAAAAATATAAACAAATAAAAACTGTTTATTTTATTTGGATATTATTTATCAAGTAGAGAAAATTGGACTTACTTTTAAACAAAATAAATCTACAAAACTTCTGTTAAAGTACTACTACATGCAAATGAGATTAAAATAAGGTTGAGTCTCACTTTGGCTCATTGAATTGTGTCAGGTAATTTTAATCCACTAGTTGCATAAAAAAAAAAAAAAAATGAGATTATCTTAAACTGGCTTAACTATTTCAAAAGAAAATGTCCATCGTTTTTAGAAATTATTATTATTGTAACTGATATGATTCACTTATCAGCCAGTATTACTGGTGGAAAAAATTTCATACAAGAAATAAGTTTTTTTTTAAAGACCTCTTAAAATTTTTTCTTGTGCTGTTCAATCACAAACTCCTTTATTATTTCCACAGTTTCCTGAAATGAATTCAATGCAAAAGTAATTGCAAATAAAACAAGGTGTTTTCTGAAAGGTTCTCAGCCTGGCCAAGGTACCTCACCTCCATTTAGATATTTGATCATTTGGCCAGATTATGGAAAGTGGGCCAAAGCAAGAACTTTTTGCTTGGCCTTCGTACATGAATAGTAAAATATTAAAAAAAATTAATGCCACATTTTTTAGTTTATTAAGGACTCATTCTTAATTATTAGTTCTAAGTATAGCTGTGAACTTGTGAGAAAACATCAAAATATTAAAATGAACATTTTGTTTACACTATTTACATTGTTCAGACTGTTATCCTCATCTTTATTGTCGTATTCACAAGGTTTCAGCTGTTGTATACACCAGCCTTCTTCAGGTGATATATGTTAGAATTTCGAACCAAACTATTTCGTCCACTAGGGTAGATTGTTCTAGTTCCTCATGCCATGCCTTTTCTAGATGTCTCAGTTTCAATTATCACTCCAAGTTTTGGTTCACCTCTGCTCACAACTGTGCCCTGGGGGGACACATGGCCTAGTAGATAAAAGCGTTGGTTGAAGTAATCCAATGATTTGGCCCAGAGTGTTGTGTGTTCAATACCTGGAAGTGAACCAAATCTTGGAGAAATAACTGAAACTGAGATATCCAGCAAATGAATGGGACATGGAACTAGAAAAATCTATCCTAATAAAGGGTTCAGTTTGAAATTCCAACAGATGTCAGCTGAAGAATGCGAGAGAATACAACAGCCGAAATATCAGGAATGAAAATAAAGATGAGGACAACAGTCCAAACAATGTAAATAGTTACAATATCTCATCTGAGAAATATAACCATATATTCAATATTTCATTCTTCATTAAAATATTGGTTGCCCAAGTAGGTATTTCAGATTTATTTCTGAAGATTTCAATCCAGCCCAATGGGAGAATTTAAAATTTAATACTAGATGGGAAACAGTAAAAAGAAAGTCATATATATAACAGGTGGTTATAAAGAGAGTAAGTATTTATGCAAATTATGAAATAAATTTTTTTTTGTTTTATTTACATAAATAAATAAAAAAAAAAAAAATGAAACTATAATAATGCCCTATAACAATTACCAAAAAATAACTGGATTTTTGGAAATTGTTATAGGGCATTATTATAGTTTCATTTTTTTTTTTATTCAGTTTTGCAAGTTTCAAAATACTTGGCTGGGAGTAGAAATGTTTTTTATTTAGAATCCAAAACTGGAGAAGTATATTTTTATTACTTGGACAGAAATATACAAAGAGGGAGAAACAAACATACCAAAAGAGCTCTCAATAATTTAACACCCAGGAAAATATACACTAATAATACCAATTGGTAATTTCTGTAAATATTTCCAGTTGTTTGTTAAATAATACAGTTGAATCATTTTTACCACAACCCTAAGACCTTTGGGTTTACAAACACTGACTTTAAACGAGTTGTTTATGAACTTATTAATATTTTGCAAAAGTCAAAGGTTAGTATTGTTTTCTTGGCTAGATTTGTGGATATTATCATTTCCTGTTTGTAGATATTTAATAATCAAAACATATTTTATGTATCTTTCTTCAGAACTCAGGTAACCATGTGCTCGGTACAGCTTCCCCACCTTTTTAATATATAAAGCAGTGAAGAAAGCTTGACCAAGAAGTGATTAAAAAAATGTTTCATTATTATGCAGATTTTGAGATGTGGTTTTTCAGCACCCCCTTTGTATGTTTACATTGTATCTTAATTACTGTTCTTGGGAAAGAGTGCACACTGATTTCTAGCTGCCTTCTCCAGTTTTGGATTCAAAATTGTTCTTATCATAGACTGGTTGCCAACCAAGACCAGAAGATCAGGTCTACCTTGTCATTTACCTATAACTGAAATCAATGAGAAAGATACAAAAGAGTGATTGATAAATTGTTGTGAGAAAAGTTAACTTCTGGTTTAAATTCGACTTGTCCATACTGTGATTTAACCTATGGTAATGAGACTAACCTAAATAGCAAATTAAATAAAAAACATTTCTACTCCCAGCCAAGTATTTCGAAACTTGCAAAACTGAAGCACTGAAAATGTGCATCTATTAATATCGAGTATCAAAATAAATTTAATTAAAATGAATGAATTGGTTATTGCTTAAAAAAAAATCTACTGCATACTAAAGTAACAAGAGTGTAACAATGCAAAGATATATAATCTTTTCAACCACCAGATACCTTTATTTCAAATGCTTGTATTAAAAAAAAAAAAAAAAAAAAAAAAAAGTACATCTCAAATATATCACATGAAGAACTGAGTATTTCCAAGTAATAAACATTTCAGTAAGAATGAATAAGAAAATAGATTAAAAATTGAACATAAAACCAGAATGTTGACACTCAAATTTAGAAATATATATATATATATATCTCAATTTATCCATCGCACACACACACACACAGAGCGATGGATAAAATGTCATCACTGATAATTCTGGTAAGAAAAGAACACCAAAATTTGTTGGTGAGGGCCTCAGACTCAACACTGGGGCCTACATCAAGTGCCTTGAGGAGGTAGTACTGCCCTGGGTCAAGGGGGTGGCTACTAGAAGACCCTATGTCTGGAAACGGAACTTTGCAGGAAAAAGCAGTCATGGACAATTTCCACATTCTTTAAATCTGTTCACCTAACTCCCCATCCTGCAATCCCCTTGATTATGCATGGGGTGCAGTTGAGCAAGAGACCAACAAAACTTGTAACACCAAAAAGGATTATGGCAGTATTCACCAAATTAAACAAGAAGACTGTCTAGAAGACTTGCACGAGATCTCAAAGTCGTGTGGAGGCCATGGTTGAAGCCAATGGTGATTTTTCTTGAATAAATTTTGTGTAATTTTGGTAAATATATCTGTTAAAATGAGCTGTCAGTGTTATTTTTATTTTTGTGTTATTTCGACGACAATTTATTCATCGCACCCTCTGTGTGTGTGTGTGTGTGTGTGTGTGTGAATAAGTCAATTAACAAGTCAATATAGCGTGAGGTCTACTTCCAGTTTCATGTGTTTAGAAAATATGAGAGATACAAATATCCATGTTAGACTGATGGCCATATCAGGGGTGGCGTACGACATATTGATGTAGACCTCATGCTATCATAGCATCAACAGGTCTATATTATTCAATGAAACATGTTTGAATGAAGACAGCTACTAAATATGATATACATATTTTAAATTACATGATCCAGCAGCTCATCATGATAACAACATTTGGCAATTTAAGCATAACCTTATGAAAAGCTAAATTATAAACGACAACTTAAAAACAATAAGTTTGTCTTTGCAATTCACCCCTGAGGATGATCTCAAAAGAGATTGAAAGTACTTAGCTTAACAAAACTATAGCAACTTCCTGCATGAATTGCAACTTAACATCAAGATAATAAGAGAAGTAGAAAGGATTATAAAAATAGATATGTCTATTATTCAATGAAACATGCTTGAAGGGAGATATCCTGCCTATATATATATATATATATACACACACACAAAAAGCAAATCATTTTCTACACATAACCATGGAACCATCTGAGATGCATCGACTTGTAACACATGTGAAACACTGTAGAAATCATTTGAAAAATATACAATAACAGTAACAAACACTAATGTTAAGTGGTACATAGCGTACCAATAACTGGAATGGTTCCAAATGCACTCACCTGGAGCACCAACAGTTGGAACAGTAAGTGCACTCATTGAATGTACCAAAGCTTGGAAGAGTTTAAATAAAGTTCTGTTTGATGCACTAAATCAAAATGCACACATTTAAATTTGGAAGCATGTATTTTTACTTACATAACTAAAATACTGCGCCAACTTTATGTGTCAGTACTTAAAATATTCTCAATAGCTCACCTAATATACCTATGGAAAGTAATAAGAAATAATGACTACAATAATTTTACGGAACATAGAGTTGAGTGCAATAACTTAGGTTACCTGTGCTTTGCAATGCACCAATGTTTGGAAAAGTGCAGGATGCATATACGGAACCAATACTTGGATAGGTTTTGTAGCCTAACCAGGTGCAACCGGCTGCTGAGAAAAGGTGTTAAAAATTATAGAAGTACGCACAGTTAAGTACAGTGTTATTAAAGTACATGTGGCGTTAGTTGAAAATTGACGACGGACGAATGCGAAGCTGATTAGGTTCATTGTTGTAGTAAAAAATAACAACGAAAAGACAATTATATGAACCCAGAAGTATATTCATGGCACTTAACACTTCCAAGATAGGCGACCTTGAAGATGATGTCACAGAAAATAGCGTATGAATTTTTCTCAATGAAAAGGAAAACAGTTGCATTTTACATTTACGAGATATAGATGTTTTATGTCCTAGAATCTCCACCTCAACTCATTCTGAGGAAACAAGTAAATAAATATGCAATAAATAATCGGTAAATGCAATTTTTAAATATAAATTTGTGTGGGTACTTGTTTGATAATGATAATTGAGAGAAAAATAAAAATAAATAGAAAGATAAAATGCTAGATTTAATTTTTGCCATCGGACTTTTCGACTGCCATCAAAATAATTTTTTGTCATTGTGGGTGCGTCAAATGTTAGAAAAAAAATCTGTCAAAAAGACAAGATTCTTTGAATGCAACAATGTCACAATATAGTTTCTAACACTAAAATAAAATTAACTTTTAAACAATTCGAAATTAAATATTTTGATTTCTCGTAAGAATTCGAATAAGAAAAATGCTTGGAAACAGTTTCTTCATCTTGTCTTGTCAAACTGACCACATCAAACCCATGAAATGGCATCTTTGATTTTAAATATTTCCCATACTTCAATCAATGCATGCATTTACTGAGAATTCATTGTTTTTACAAATTTAAAAAGGTTAACAACTTAGTAATCTTAGTTACATTTTTTTTTTTACAAGAACACAAAGTGATTGACCTTCAGAATATAGAATGCAATTTCCATTTCTATCATGACAATAGCCACCCGTAAACTAAACAATGTTGTGGCATTTCTCGATCTTTAAAAAAAAATGACAATTACCCAAACAAAAGTCACTCAGAAAAATCATTCCGAAATTGCCAGTCTCGGAAATATAGAACTGACGTCTACCTACACATCTATGACATCAGATTTAAATTAATCTTATTTTTTTGTTTAATCTAAATCACAATAATACACACATTTTAAAACTATTTTTTGGCTTAATGCATTTCTTTGTAAGTACCTTAATTTTCAAATTACTGCAGGAAAGTGTTAGGAATCGACTTGAGTCAGGGAAATAAATATTAGAAAAAAAAATTACGATCCGTACTCTAAGTTTCATACTTGTAAAATCCACAAGAGCCACGTGAAATCGAGCAAAATTCCAACGAAGACAACAATCGGTTCCCTAGAGGCTTCCTCAAATTTAACATTTACATTTTTACAACGAAGCTTGTAAATGGAGAAGAATGTCTTACTGTTCTTAAAAAGTTAAAAATAGAGGACGACGAAATTTATGTTCAAAATCAATGAAAACATCAAAGACAGGCTTATTAAATTTTTATTTTAGTGATAGAATTTTACTGTTCAGAAAGGGGTTCTGATCATAAAAGTTATTTGAATTAAAACTAGTCAAAGTTTGTTTTTTTATTCATTAAAAAAAAAAAGAAGAAAAAAAAGGATTTTTCAAAATAAAAAATAATAGCTAAAAAAGCTTTACCAATCACTGAAGTGAAAACGGATTTTTGTGTATAAGAAAATAAAAAGTCAGCGATAAAATAATAAAAGTACGGATGATGTTTTTAACATCATCCGTACTTTTATTAAAAAAAAAAAAAAAAAAAAAATCGAGCACGTGTGACGTAACTTTTACAGGGTAGTAATTTCTCAAACACACCTGGTAAAAACCAAAGATTTAGTAAATATGCATTTTCATTTTCCTAAAATAAATTTGCGAGATGTCAGATTAAAAAATATTCTAAAAATTACCATAGGAAAAAAAAACATACAAAATATGAGACCGGTTAGAAATAATCAACAATATTTACAAACGCACGTGTCGTCCTTTTTACATTTTATATTCGTATAAATAAAAAAAATAAAAAATAAGGGGGGGAGGGACAAAACATCAAGCAGTCCTGCTACACAGGCATTAATCATATTTACATATCCGACACAATTTTACTGAAATTTTGCAACGATGTTACTGTTTATTTAGACGATTAAATCAAAGTTTAAGGATTTTTAAGTAGATACTCCCACCATAGCCCAAAACTTGATAGCAAGCCTGTGGACATCTAAACGACGAAGGAGAATAAATAGACCTGTTATGTTCGAGATTGTTAAAAAAAAAATAAAAACTGGGAAAATTAACTTAAGTAACAATATTTTTTTTTTTTAATAATCGACACATTGACCTGATATTTTTTTTCGATCTCTCCTAGAGAATCTTAGTTGGTCTAATTTTGGGGTCTGTACCCAAACTTTAAGCAATTTCGCGATCATCTTCGAAAATAATTGAATTTTACAAGCTTAATCTTCTTGTCTTATAACTAAATTTACAATTTGCATACATACAAAAAAGTTTCTATCGTAAACATATTACTGTCTAAGCACATGACATGTGCATATACACCCACTCCAAGACAAACATTGCTAGTTTTGTAATTCCTAAAAGACAGGATGCGATAATCGAAAATTTCGAGAGCAACAGATAAACGGGAAACATGACAATATCAAAAGGTTTTACTATGTAATAAAATTTCCAGTTAGCGAGTTACATCCGTCAGTTGTGGACTTTACTGGCTACACCAAGTTTGAAGTGAAATCAATTCTTGGTATCCTAATTTAATTCTGACCTATAACCCTAAAAAGTTATTCAACGTAAGCAGGGGGGGGGGTGTTTTCATGGAGAAAAGGGGGTATATAAAATTAAAATAACACACAAAATGACAAATTTACTTTTTGGCGTACATAATTTTAAATAAAATAAATTACAATATACTGAATTAGATTAAAAAAAAAAAAAACTGTACTAATTATTATGGTAAGTTATGACATTTTCAGGTATCATTTTTTTTTATATTAAAAATATTAAAAAAAAAACCAAAAAAAACAAACAAAACAAACACAAATGGTATGGGATGAAGAAGGAAAAAATTTCAATTTTTTGGTGGTTTATTTATATTTTTTATTGTTCCACTGATCTCGTTTTAAATCCAATATTAAAAATAAATAAAATCATCAGAATTCATAATTTTTTTACGATGTCATTTAAAAATAAAATCTAATTTTTAACAGTAGTGGCATCTTTAATAATAGAAAGTTAATTATTTTTCATTTTATTCTTATCGTCTTGTCTCTCACCAAGGAAGGATATTAATAACTAGTTTATTAGATATTAAAAAAAAACCAAAAAAAAAAAACCAAAAAAAACAAAACAAAAAAAAACACAACTTTAGAACTCCTGTATATAGGTTAAGATGATTTCAGATCTAGGCTAAGTGAAAAAGTTGTGTTAAAAACATTTTTTAAAGAAAATTTGCAAACCCAATACAGAACCTCCTTGGAGTAAAACTAAAAGGTTAGATTAGAAGTTTCAAAATACAGGAAGGAGAGAAACAGAGAGAAAGAAAAAATAGGATCCAAACAGAAAGAAAAAACTGTAGAATAACTAAATTGTCGATATAATTGTTCTAGGTCTTTTTAAAGAAAAAAAAAAGAATCAACTGTTCGTTTTCGCTTGATGCTAAAAGGAAACAACACTTTAAAACAACAAGTCAAGAGCCGAGGAAATTTGAGAAAGAAAATCCGAATATTTACTTAAAAGATTCGGTATATTTAAGAAGATAGAATATAAAAGTGGTCAAACATGTAGCAAAACATCAAGTATGCAATAAATAGACAAAAAGAGGGTAAGAACAGATTTAAATAGAAATATACGTACGTTAGGAAAGGGATTATTGGGGTCCATTTCATTTTTAAGAAAACCGGTCCTGGTGTGTACGGTCGATCACCACAGGTAATTTTTTTTTTTAATATATATGTATTTCTATGTATATATTTCTCTCGGTATGTATATATACATTTTTTGTTTGTTTTTGAAAAAAAAAAGGATACACGTTAAGTCCAAGTCGAAGCCATCTTCCTGAAATCGCCGTTTCTTCTTACTAACTATTCCTTTAATTTTATTCGCCATTTTTTCTCTCATGATCTTTGTAGATATATTTTCGTAGACGTCAGATCGGGGCCATTCCTTTTAAAGGTTATATATATATATACACATATATACACAATATATATATACATATATATTGCATATATGCGTATGTATGTAAGAATAATTTTTATATATACATATATATGTATATATAAAAAGACGAACAAGTGCGCGAGATGAGTGCGTGCTGTTATATATATTTATATATATACATATAACAATATATATATATTTATATATGGATATATTTTCTTCTCCTTTTGTCGTGTTCCTTGCAACAAAAGACCTTTTTCTTTAAAACAGACCAGGATGCACTCACACACACACAATCTCACACACACACAAACAATACGGTGTCGACGACGACAAATGGGGCAGCTACTAGAAAATTTGAAAGGAAGGCAACCGCTGTTCGTCTTAGACTAAGCCCCTCACTCGCTCTCTCTCACACTTATGCTCTCTTCCTACCCGCTACTTATTTAGTACCTTTCTTTGCTGAGACCTACCCTGTGTTTTTGCTGCTGCTTCTCTTTCTTCCCCCTCTCTTGTTTTACTAGTCACTCACTCTCTCAGTAACTCCCACTTTTCTCCTCTTCCTGTTTCCTTCTCAAGAAGTTGTGGTAAGAGTAAAGCTAACCTCGCTACCATCTATGTTTTCTATCTCATTCCACTACTCCTTCTTGTAAATTCGTTCTCCTTGTCACTGTTTTTTTCTGCACCTCTCTCAATATTTCTCTCTTTCGTCTTATTTTTCTTTTCTCTTTTCAGCTAGTGATAGCAGTAGTAGTAAGAGTTAAAACAACTGGTACTACCTCTTAATATTCACTACCTGATACCATTCCTCTTGATCGTCTCTTCTTTTTTCTTTCTCTATCGCTTTTCGTTTTCTTTTTGCATTTTACTTCCTTGCTGTCTCTTGCTGGCCAGTACTTTATCTTTTTTTAAACTGGTATTAAAAATAATTCCACTTTTAAAAAAAAAATATTTTTACTTTCTTTTCCTTGCTCTCTGTTTTGCTTACATCTTTCTCTTATTTTCCTTTTCTTTCTTTCTTTCTTTCTTTCTTTCTTTCTTTCTTTCTTTCTTTCTTTCTTTCTTTTTCTCTCTGAGAGATAGTTCTGAAGACAAAACTAAATAGTACTGTCACCCTCTCCTGCTCTCATTCAGTTTTTTCCCCGTTTATCATTAATATTGCCCCCGATTTTTATTCTTTCCCATCTTCTCTTTTCTCGCGTTTATTTTTCTTACTATTTTTGGCTGTGGTGTTTTAGCAGGAAAAATAATGTCACCATCTATTAGGATCTTCTCATTCATTTTCCTGATCCCTTTATCCATTTTTTACCTGTTTATCTACTTATTTTAACTTCGTTAATCTTTTTTCAATTTATTTTTATTTGTTTCGTAAGTTTCACCCTAAGTAATTGCCCGTGTCTTCTTTCTTTTTCTTTTTCGTGTGGCAACAATGAGACGAAGACGATAGTTTAACTAACATCCTCATCTCGCTTTTTTTCCCCCACTCTCTATACTGTACCTCTCTCTCTTATGTCAGAAAAATAGCTGCGGTCATCTTACAGAAGTTGTAATAAATAGTAAATACCGTCATCATGGTATTTCTTTTTCTTAATTTTCGTAAACTTTTTTTTTATTCTATATTTTTAAATTATTTCTTTTACTTTCACACTTTTTAATTTTAAACGTTTCTTTTTCTATTTGTTACTTTTCTTTCTTTTAGTTTTTATTATTCTTTTGTTAATGTTAGCAATGAATGGTTATCCTTTTTTTCCACCTTGTACGATTTTTTTTTACTTCAATCTTTGATTTTCTCTCTTTTTCAGATATTTTTCTTTTATAGCCATTTATTTTTTCTCTGATCCTATCTTTGTAAATCCCAATTATGTCTCACTTTTCTTACCTTGCTTAATTTCTTTTCCTCAAAAGCCTCTTCTTAGTCTGGCACAAGGCCACTTTTTTCTTTTGTGGTAGAAATAGTGGTAATAATAACAATAGATAAATAATATCATTTAATATTAATATCTTTTCGAATCTCTTTTTCCCTATCAGTTCTAACAAATTTCCAATTTGAAGTTAATCATTTGAGAGAGAGAGAGAGAGAGAGAGAGAGAGAGAGAGAGAGAGAGAGAGAGAAAAGAAAAGAAAACACTTTCATTCACTATCTCCAACCTTTCCTGCATTCACTTTTATTCTACACTTAAAGGTGCATGTAATCCTAAAAATTAGAAGGTAGCAACTTTCACATTTTTATTCACTTTCTCTTTTTTGACCATGTTACATTTATTTTTATGATATTTACTTTCTCTTTATTTGAAATCTAATTTTCATCTTGACCAATTTCTTAATTCATAGACTTTCTTCGTTTTTCCGTTTCTTTTTTTCACTTATAATTTCTACTTCATTACTTTTCCATTTTTCTTTTTGCTTCCTATTTCCTTTCGTATTTTTTAACTCTTTGCTTGACTTTCTAAGTTCTACTTACCTTTAGTTATTATTACGCTCACTCATTCATCCTGTGTTGTAATGAAAAGCATTTGCTACCATTTAATCTTTCTTTCTCTTACCGATCCTCATTTTTAGGCTTACCATTAATAGTCATAGTAGTATTAAAATAACAATACAATTGTCATTCATCGCTCGCTGTTTTCACATCTCGCTCCGTCATTAAGAAAGTATTTATATACAGACTTTTAAAGTTATTCATACTCAGTAATTCTTTTTACATTCGCAATAATAAAAAGTTAATAATATTAGTAATAAATGCAATTAATGTATGTACTAGTTGTATCATAAATACTTGTATTTATTAGTTTACGTATTGGTATTAGTTGTATTGTAAAAAAATGTAGTTGTATTAGTTGTAGTGGCAATTAGGTTGCTACTCCATATATTTTATTATCTCTGCCTGCGACTCCTACAAAAATGCTGTTGTTTATGATGCTGTTACCGCATTTTTTGGTCTCTTAATAACACTGTCCTGAAAAAGTGTAAGCTATTATTGCTATAAATGTTCGTTTTTTTTTTTTCTGAATTTAAAGTCAAAATCCAAAAGTTTAATTTGAATTGGAAAGAGTAATTAATTGTTAGATTTAGCACGATCTTAAGCGGTCCTTTTTTTTAAACTCCTACTGTCTCTTTAAGAATTTACTCCTACTCTTCCCTCGTCTGTAGAACTATGGTTAATTTTTTTTTTTTCGTAACATGTCCCGGATTTAGGTGTTAAATATTTTTTTTATGCTTAGCATTATTTGGAATTCCTTTGGTATCTAATGTTATATTTAAATACAGCTTCTTTTTGTATCTTAAGGTAATACGCATGCATGTGCATGATAAAATTTTCGTAAAGCATTTTATTTTTCACCGGTAAATTGTTATTCAATCACTTAAAACATTTATTGTTAATTACTGAATGAATAAACTTAACCTTAAAAGTAGTGGTAATTAAGTTATACAAAAAATGTGTGTTACTGATCTATTTGTTGTAAATTATTATTAACAATGTTACTAGAGGAGAGAGACATTTTTACCTTGTCTCCTTCCATACTAAATATCTGTCACTATTAGTAGCTTTTTAGTCGATCGCAGTAGAATTCTTTCTTAATTTTAACCTCTTCCTGATACTCTTTTGGAGATGCAAGTAAACAAATGCATTTTAGGGTAGTAGTGAGAGTAGGTCAGACATTGACCACCTCCCCCCCTCTTCGCATTCACATGTAATTACTGAAAGTTCATGTTGTTGCTCATCTGGTAAAGACAAAAAGTTCTGGTGATCTTCAAAGTTTTCATTAACTTCATCACTGTCTTGTACTTGCAAAATACGCGATACCATTATCTCAAGCATCATCAACAAAACTATTACTACTAATCATTTTTACTTTTTACCTCCTCTAATTCTTTTTAGCATTTCTTCTTATTTACAATAAAGTGTCACATGCACCAGTTGCTAATGCTAGTGCTGCTGCTATTGCAACTTGTAGCTGTAGTAATACTAATTGTAAGTTGTAGCATTTGAAGTAGCGTTACTGTTATTCACTATTAGTAAATAAGTACTTTTAACCAATATTTCGAGGATGTTCTGGATTTTACAAGTACTCTACTAGGGGGTGAAATCAATTTCGTTTCCAGAATAAGTTGTGTTTATGCATCGCGATCAAATTATTTTTTTTATCTCCAGACCTGCAGTTTCTATGTTCTACCACTGAGCTAAAAACACAAATGATTCCTATTGTAGTTATAGTAGCGATAGCAAAGGGCAGAGATCAGATTTTACAAGTTTTACACAAAAATGACTACTTGTTTGAATCGTGTTTTTCTTTAACTTATTGATTGTTTTTTTACAGATTACTTTTTCTTTGCCGTGACACTGAAATAACAACACGATGAAAGCAGCGACAGTGAAAACTTTATTATTTTTGCTAAAATAGATTGTATATAAGTAATTTAATAATATTTGTGCTAACGAGCCTCACTAACCTAGTTCTCGGAGAAAAAAATATTTAAACAAACGCATAGTTGATAGCAGTTAGGTGTAACTTAGTTTTGGCACAAGGTCACAAATATAAAGTACCCAATGAGGATCAAACTCATTAGCCAGTAAATGGTTAACCAGACGAGCTCATTAACCATTACCCTACGTCGAAGCACAGAGAAATATTTTCTAGCATATTTTTTTATAGTTTGGGTACAATTATGGGACACATAGTGGAGATCGAACTCAGACGTAATTATCTGTAAGACATGTTTCCTAACTTGTATACCATGACGAAGCTCTTGAATATAGCACTAATAGTAATTGTAAAAAATGTAAATCAGTCATTTGTTTTCATGTTTTTTTTTTGTTTTTTTTGTCATTTCTTCCAGAGAGTAATTCTAATAAGTGTAGTTTAGTAGTAGTGGTGGTGGTGGTGGTTTTAGTTCTTAAGGAAATTTGTTTTCTGCAATCACTTGTTAAAATTTACTCAATTGAAATCACCGAAAACTGGAATTTCATTCAGTATTACTAGTATAAAAAATTAAACAGATGAACCAAATAATATTAGTTGTTGTTGCTATCGTTGTGCAATTCAAAAGATATCTTCAGACATGTATTAAAAAGAAATGCAACATAGATGCAATAAATTTGTTCAAGTTTATAGAATGTTATAAAGCCATGCATCCCTCATGAAAAAAATGCACCATTTCAATAAGAAAATCATTTCTTGATAACTAAACAAGAAATAATTAACAATAATACTTATATTCATAAAAGCAGACGTAAAACTGTTAATGTTATTTGATTTCTGGAGCTGCAATTCCTTGTACTACTATTGAGCCCAAATCCAAGTGATTCTTATTGCAATTTCAGTAGCAGTAGTAGTGGTATAAATGGGAACAGTTTACAGATATTCCAAATTCTTTTCTTTTTTTTTTTTTTTCTGTATATATATATATATATATATATATATAATCACGTTACAAGTATTAGCATGAAAGTGTAGAACAATTTTTAATGTAAGAATATATATGTGCTGTATATACACACACACACACACACACACACACACACACACATATATATATATATATATATATATATATATATATATATATATATATAATATATATGAACAAAAGAAAAAAAAACTTTGTGTTTGGATGGACTGTATGAAGGCAAAACATTTGACTTGATAAATTTCATCAGAGGATGAAACGCATCAGCTAAGATAAGTTTTCATTCTATTTTCATTCATATTTTGTCCTTTTACGGATATATTTTTAGTTATATCTGAAATTTTTCATATATATGTATGGGTAGTGAAAGAGACTTCTTTATGTTCACTTTCGTACATATACCTGTGGAAAGGTATGAATCCATTGCTACACCCTCCCAGCTATGGGCTAACTAGCAGGACAGCCTGAGGTACCTTGCCTTGAAGTGGCAACCAATCTAAAAGAAGGAAAACTCCATTGTCAGTTTATCCTGCCCTAGACAAACTACTGCTGCTATGGCTGCAGTACACGTACTGCCCCTATGAATCTAATGTGTTATAGGACTTGTGACATGATATATATATATATATATATATATATATATATATATATATATATATATACTTATTTGTATTGATGTGAGTTTATGACTGGGTTTCACGCCCTTACGATCGTCAGGCCTTGTGTGTAATTTCTATATATATTATTGTCTGACGATCGCAAGGGTGTGAAACCCAGGGTCATAAACTCACATCAATACAACTAAGTATGTTAGCTCTATCACCGATATTGAACGCTTTCCAATAAGTACCGCGCATATATAATGTATAAATAATATATATAGAAATTACACACACACACACACACACACACACATATATATATATATATATATATATATATATTATACATGATTACTCTCAGTTTCACATTTTAAGTGTTCGTCATGCTCAAGGCATGGAACATACAGTCACCGCAGAATGTTGATTTTTTGTTCACGCTGTTTCTATCTATCTATCTATCTATCTATCTATCTTGGTCTACTCATATCTATCTATCTGGAAATAAGTAACTAACAATGCAAGTGAAATATTATGAAAAATTGATGCATGCATCTTGCTTTCTTCCAGTTTATAGAATGCACGTGTATTGATAATGTGTGGATGGTGGAAAAATTTCAGCTTGACCAAGAAGTCCTTCAAAAAATTCTTATGTCGGGTCATTTGGTCAAATTTTGGATAGTGGATCATGCTGAAAACTTTTCATCACCCCAACTCACTGAAATTCATACCGATTAACCCGTGACATGCAGAAGTAAGGCCCAGATTTATTTTGAAAAAAGTTTGATAGATTCATGTGACTGCCAATGTACAACTAAAACTAGAAATAGCGACTACTTTGAAAACTTTACGCGTTATTATTTTAAGAAACGGGAAAATTTCATTAGAAACAAAGAAAAGAATACTGAAATTTTATCCAGTAAAAGTCCTCCTTTATGGCAGTGAATGCTGGACAATCTCCTCACAGATGAAGAGGAACAGGATGCCGAGTATAGTATAGACTGAGAATTTGAGCAACGATAAAGTTATAGAGAAAATGGAAATAAATAGGAGCCTTATACTTAACACCAGAAAGAGACAGTTGAAATTTCTAGGGCACATAATTAGGAAAGAGAAATTAGAAAATTTGCCCCTTACCGGACATATTGAAAGCAATGGAGACAGAGTATAACAGTGCATAATGTACCTAATGAGTTTGTGTAAATGGTCAGCAGAACAATGTTTAGAAGAGATAGCACAAAGACATAGTGTGGATGTACTAAGAGCTAAAAAGAACAGGAAATTATGGAGAGTCATGATCGCCAACGCCCTGAAGTGAGATGGCATATAGAAGAACTGACACGAATCATATCCAGTTATCAAGATTTGCAGACCCTACAAATATTTTTTTTTACAATACAAGGCCCAAATGCCACTGAAGGTAGAGAGTTACTGTGTGGAGTTATATTAGCATAGGAAGGGAAAAACATTAGAAGTATAGAGCTGAAGTAGGCTTTAGAAGAAACCAGAAACTCAATCCTAAACAGGAAACAAGGGATGAACCTCTACTCCTATTCAAAAAAAGCTATCTACTCCAACTGATGGAAGAAAATAAATAAATAACATTTCAGAGTTTAGGTAGAGACGTTAGAAGTATAGAGTTGAAGTAAACTTTAGAAGAAATCAGAAACCCAATCCTAAGCAGGAAACCTCTACTCCTGTTGAATAGAACGAGGAGGCGTACGAACTGGACAACAAGTAAATTTATTTACTTCTATTATTGGAGGAGAGAAAAAATAAAATGGAATAAAATTTCTGAGTTCAACCACGAATTATGAGTACAGAGCTGAAGCAGACTTTAGGAGGAATTGGAAACCCAATCCTAAGATAAACCTCTACCCTTATTCAAAAGACAAGCGAGGAGTGTGAACCAGATGATAGGCAAACGTTTTTCGATTCAGAATTGCCATTTTCTTAGATTGGCTGCCAACCAAAGCTCAAGAGATCCCATAGCTAAGAAGAGATTCACGCCTTCCTCGAGCACCTTTACGAGAAATGACCTGCATTGTAACTTGGTCAAGCAGATTCAATTAATTTAATAACTTACTGAGATGCAAGGGGTTACCGAGAGTGAAAGAAGACGAGAGAACTTTAGTGAGCAGAAAGGACAATAAAAGAGCAGGATTTAAAAAGACAGAAGATACCGATTGATATTGCATTTAAATTTTTGAAGATCATAGTTGACAGGAAAGAAAGAAGCAGGAAGAAAGTTCCACAGGGAAGAAGTACGAGAAAATAAACAATTAGAAAGGAACTTACGGTTACACCTAGCTAATTGATCAGTAAAACGGTAAAACCTAGATGCCTACAGTTAAATTCATAAGAACGTGTCTAATTCTTTAATATGTGTTTGATTGAGATATAGAACAATACTTTGGACTGTCATTAAGAGAGCATGCTGGAAAGTTACTGGCTTCGCCCACTTTACAAAATTTAACCTAACGACCAAACATCAGATTTAAAAACAAAATCTATTTTTGGTCGAGCCGAGAAGTTTTCAGCATACCCGCATAATGTTTTATGTTTTATTTTGTTGTATTTGTTTAAAGACTTGTCTTGATTAGAACTGATCGAACAAATTCTTTGTCAGAAATAAACTTTTCCTACGAAGAAACAACCTTTTAATGAGCGGTATGATTTTTTGTTTGTTTTTTGTTTTTCTGTTTGTAACTTCTCTAAAAAACGAAAAAAAAATCAGGTATTTAAAACAAGTGAATTCTGCCCTCATTCAAAGATCGGACCTAGAGCAAAGCAGGCAAGTAACATACGCTTGTGTTTTGCTGTTTCAATAGCATGATAAAATTAAATTGCAAATAATATGATAGGTAGAATACACAGATGCTGCACTAATTCCAGCCAAAAGACCAACATCGGATTTCGATATCGCATTTTTCATCCTGTGTTAAAAAAATCTTCCCAGATATTTAAACTTCTAGACTTGTTTGATGTTGATATCTCCAATTGGCAGTTCGCATCACGGGCTTCGAGGGTATATCGAGGGATAGGGGAAAACTGCGAGCTTGTGTGAATGGATAGCAGAATGGAGGCTTGGCAAAGAGAGAAAAGCTGCTAATGGTCACAAGGGATAGAAAGTTATGGAGGGACATGATCATCTACGTCTTGAAGGAACACAGGACATAGAACTTACCATCAATTGTAAGGAGACAAAATGCATGGTTGCTAGCAAGAGAAAAAATTCAAGATAAAAGTTAATTTAATTATTTTTCTCTATGATTTATAACAACAAATATATTGATGATAAAATTTGATTTTTATGAATAATGTGGATTTACCTTTTGGATTTAAAAAAATATGCTGGATTTTAGTTTAGTTTAAACATAAAATAGAAGCAAACGTGATATTTTTTACTACAAAATTAATATAAAATTATTTATTAAGAACGTTGTAATGTAAAATTAATGTCCAAATTAAATAAAATAAATTTAATCCGATATTTTAGATATTGTAACCGAGATGTACAAAACGTTAACCACACATTTTAAGAGTCAATTTTTTTTCTACTATAATCATAAAATGTGACAATATAATTCAACATAACAACAGTTACTTTATTTCTAAACGATAAAAATAAATAAAATAAAAAATAATTTCATGTTTATTTTGTTCCATATTTTTGTTTACGAATTCATAATTCCGATATGTTTTTTGTTTTAATTAAAACTGTTTTAACACACGAGCAATTAATTCAGAGATTAAAATGCATATAACATTTCGTACACCATCGTTAACGGAGGTAGGGGTGAGAAGTGATGGACTTGAAGCTCCACCAATGTAGATATTAATTGTAATAAGATCTTAGTAAAGAAAAATATCCCAAGATAAAAAGGGATTAACTTTTTTCGAGCCAAATTAATTATGCTCTTAATCTCTACTTTGTTTCATTGAATTCCTTAAACCGACTACAGTAGCAAACTACCGCGAACCCAAACCGAAACTAAAAAAATATCATTGCATCCAGTGAAACAACGAGATTTGAGATAGGCCTCCAGTTCTGAGCAAGAGTTGTACTATGACTTGGCATATAGTAAAGAACGCCATATTTAAGAGTATTTGAGTTGATTTGGGCGAAATTCGTACTGCTTGTATGTTATGAGGCCCGAAAACGAGGAAATTAGAGGTATTTAACACCTGTGGACGTACTTTATGAAAGCATTATAATTTTACGAAACTTATGTTGCCTGTTGTCGACGTTATATACGTTTTAAAGATATACTTATACATCTTTACGAAATCTATTGCCTGCTGTTGAAGTATATATATATATATATATATATATATATATATATATATATATATATATATATATATATACATTTTTCGGACGTACTTATATGTCTTTGCGAAACTTCTATTGACTGCTCTCTACGTATATATACGTTTTAAAACTATTAAATGTCGGTTTTTAGCATTTATGTTATAAACTAAATAGCGCTTAGTGTTATTTCCGAAACATTGTAATACGACCCATTTTGTGACGTATTTTTATTACATTGTATATTGATGGTGTCGTTTAACTTGGTCTTTACTGCAGAGTATCCAACCGAAACAAAAATGACAGCGCCTATGCGAAATCAACGTCAATGTCTATAACAGGGCTGGCCAAATTGTTTAATGTCAGAGCCACATGTTCAGATGTTTGAGAGCCGCAAGATATCAACAAAATTCACACATGTTTCTGTTACACCTTTTGTTAGAATTTTTTATATAAATATTAAGAAATGTATGTGTGCAATAATATTTATTCATGCATGCAGTTTTTTAAACTGTTAATTTGTATTGGTTTCAGTAATCACAAAGTTTACACATATATACTAATTTTTTTTCAAAATCTTGACTGATTATTGTTTTAACTATATTGAGCACATTTAATGCGGTAACTTCTAAGAAAAATCAACGAATTTGCACTTCAGTAATATAAAATTAGGCTGCCAAATATAACACTGAAAAGGAAAAATATTTTTAATGATATTTATTTGTCTTAGTAAATATCTGGTCAAAACATGGAGGAAAATATATAAAAGAAAAAGCAAACCAATAAAATTAGAGATATTTTGATGAGATACCACCTTACAAAATTAGTCTTATGACAAACAGACAATGCTACAAAATTTTTTTACCCCCTCTGCCCCACCATTTCTTCCTTCAGCAGTAAAGAACAATGTCTCACTCAGATCTAGCATTAATATTAGGATATCATTTCTTAATTATTTTTACTAACCATGAACATTAAACTTACGTTTTAATCCAATGGAATCTCAATTCATACTCAGTAAATAATTAGAAAGCTTGAAATTTTTCTTATTTACCTTTTATATTAACTATGATAAAAAAAAAGAAAAGAAAAAAAGCGCAGCAAACATATTTCCATGAGCAGCATATTCAAGGTCAAAAAGCCGCATGTGGCTCGGGAGCCACGGTTTGGCCAATTTGGTCTATAATAAAGTCATTTCTT